AAGGAGAAGAGTGATATCCAGTTTTTGTAAACAAGATGCATATGAGAGTTTTTTTCCCCTGTCCAATAGTCTGTAACTGTTCAGTTGGTGTTTCTTTAATAAACAACTCCGCAGCGAAGGCCTTCTTCTTTTCACTGATATGTATTTTCAAACCTTATACAGCTCCTGTGATTTGTCGTCACGCCACTGTTTCGTAATTTCAACAAGTGTATTCTATGTTGCTTTGTTGCCTTGACTCACAGGTACGTCACTGAACATCTAATCACACCGGCTGTTATAGAGTTTTTGGGAGCTACCAAGCAAATGGGCCAGTATCTAACAAGCAAGACAATTCTTCACCCAGCGTTATCTTTTGTAATCAGGTAACAATTTTTCTGCCCTAGAAAAGGCATACTTTCCTAGCGAGCTACTTGCGTTTCCAGAGGCATGGCAGACAAAAAACATGCTCTTAATGTGTGCACGGCGCACCTTCAGAGACGCACTCAGGGTATGACAGGAAATGAGGAGATTAAAGTCCGAATTCGTGATCAAACTGACAAGCATGACTTCACCAACTAATGAATGGAGAAGTTTTGACTTTGCAGGAGGCAACCCATCATGAACGCTCACTGTCTGCATTTGAGTGAAGCGACCCCAGAGTTCTTACCAGTTTCTACATTATCATCCTCATTCCTTCCCCGACTGACAAAGTTCTCTTCATTGGTTAAAAGTTTTTCCAGGCCGTAACAACATCCATCCTTCTCTTTCAAAGTATATTGTGCTTAAAAACTTGGTGCGATTACAGAATCAATCAATAATGCGTTCCCTACTACTCGTTCGTCCCTTTCCCGAGTATGAAAACTTGGTTGTAATAAACGTATTCCCGAGAAACAGAAAACGAATTGTTCTACTGCATACGTTCTAACTATACCGTATTTAATAATGATACTTCCTTTCACGTCACGATCCATATTTGTTGATAAGGCAAACCGCAGTCTGTCAAATCAGGTATTTTTGCCGTTTACTGTTTCGTCTCTGAACCTAATGAATTCTGTTGTCGGCACTTGGAAGTTATTTCATCTGGCTCCACAGATAAGATCAAGCCTAGTTTGAGGAACAGACACGCGAGTTTCCGTTTCCGTGGGACAGGAGTAGAGAAGTAGGTAACCTTGGGAATCTTGACAGACGTTGCACGCAACAACTCCCAATTAGCCCGGAATAGATCGAAAACGCCTTTGGTTCGGATGGTAAAGATAACTTCCTAGGCCTGCTATTAAGCGATGAGTAATGTGTATAATGCTAGCTATATATATATATATATATATATATTCCAAATGCCTTCGAGAGTTGTCCGAATGGTACTCAACGCTGAAGTGAAACAAAGACGACGAAACAAAATAATCATGACTCACTCAAGCAGGTAGTCCTCATCTTCATTGAATCCAACATTTCTGGCCTGTGTAGTCGACAGACAAATTATAAGAGCTGAAATGAGTTTGCAAATGGAATTCTGTTATCTGAACATATAAAAGTCCGCTGTGCCAAAGACCATTTTACCACAGTGAGTTTTCTGGTCTACCCGGGAAGATCACTGCTATACCACACGAATATTTTTTAGGTACCACATTTAGGACAGGTGCTTCCATAGGTAACCATTCGCCTTTCTATTTGCGTATAACTGAAAAAGAACCTAGATTTGTACTTATGTTATACTGCTGTCTGTCATGAATGGTTGTGGGGATTTTCTGTCGTCCATGTGCTCTGAGGAATAGAAATTTTGTAGACACCTTTCGAATTCAAAGGGGACAACTTTGAAAAAAGGGGAAAAAATCAGTAAAGATCCGATTTTCAGTTTCAAGAGATTCTTGTGATTTTAAACGTTGCCTGATGTCGGACTTGTTTTGAGGGAATTCAGTACCATTTATCTTAGTTGGAAAGTTACCTTGTATTTTGGAAGGTTCACTGGAGGGTGCCTAAGATGGGAATTTGGTGTAGTGTCCATCCGTATGCCGTAAAGGACTTCACTACGGAAAACAAAATTTGTACGCCTCACTACAGAGGAAAAGGATGTCAGTGGCTAGAAGTGTTTCATACGTTGATTCACTTTACGTAAGTGTTCGCTTCTGCGTTTTTTGAATAAATATTGTGTGGGCTTCAATCGACCTAGCATGAAACTCAGTCCAGTTCTCACGGAATCTGCCATCTGTTCAGTTGGTAATTCGCTGTGGTTAGATCTTCACAGTACCGTTGCTGAACGTCTCGAAAAACGTCTCTTTTGTTTATGCTCACAAGATGCTCGGATGCATTTTGGCATCGTTCGAAGTAATCAAAGCAAGGATGGTTTACCGTAGCCCTAGACTATAGTAAGGGAAATTGTTCAGCTGTGACTCTTTCAGTGCCTGACCGCTTTGCCACCCGAATGGAGTACGTAGGTTGAGGTACTGCCAGGTTGCCAAAGCAAAGATAGGATCATTCGAGATGCTGATGTCGGGTTCAAACCACTGACCTTCTGACCAGTAGGTACCCTCCCTAACCACTGAGTTAACATGAGCTCTACAACCCCACACAAACTAATGGGATTCTATAGTCCTTACAAGGCTTATTCTTGTGGGCTGGTCCCAGTGTATCAACTCGTGTGACTTTGCAAAGAATACATTTATCTGTTAGCATGTGAATGAGTCGAATTTGGGAGCTCATAGCGAGTAAAAATGATCTTCCAATTATGTTAGACAATGGACAGTTTGGTATGTCTCCTTGTCCTGGTCACATCTGATTTCACTGCGGTAATTGCCAACCAAGAGGCTCTACACAGTGCTGCGGTGTCCTCGCACTCATGCATTTTGTCAGCTCGCTGGATCACATGTCACACGAACAAAATTATACCGTACTCCTTTTTAAGCCTCCTCTTGCCCACAAACGGTTGTTCGGTTATCGGAAATCGGTTAAAATAGGGAAGGTCACGGAAATGCAACCTGTAGTGGCAAATGTTTGTTGCGGAAGCCTACAAATCCTGGTAGGCAAGGAGACGATTACAAAAAATGTGTTTTGTTTAAAAGTAATCATTTCTTTCGTATAATCTGGCCAATTGAACACAAAGCAAAGACACGCGATTTTCTCTTTGTGTGTACGGCATTTTTGAAATATCCACCTTTCTATGTAAGTCGGGGTTATGCGCCGGCTCTAGAGATGCGAAGAGGGTAGTATTTGTCTTGTACGATCATTAGCCTACTTCACTTTCCCGGGTTAAACAATGTATGCAAGGTTTGTGTAAAGTTCAGTCTTGAACGTATTAGACTGAGTTGTATATATCGCGGGTTCGCGATGTCCTCTTTCACAATCTGCTTTATTATATTACTATTGTGTTCCGATAGCCCCAGATAGGCATGACTCAACTCAAAACAATCAAGATGTGCAACTTACCTTGTCTAAGCCTTTTGTAGCACAGACATGAGTGTTGATACGTGTATACCTGGCTGTGGCAATAAAGTAAGCTTTTTCATGCACTGCGGGCGTTGCAGCTACTTCGTAAGAACAAAGATGATGCTCGTAATATACTACTCATAAGGTTACTGAAAACTGCTCGACAGCCCTTCACTCTTCTCGGGGTTCATCAAGTAGGAGGAGTGGTTAGACGTAGCATTTGGTGAAGCGATGAAGCGTCTACAGCAACCTTATGGGTGGTGAGTCACAGTATACGATGTACTGGAATAGCTTGCCGAGCGAAACATGAGGTGGCCTGGTGCAGCACTTTCAGTTCAGTGGGAACATTAAAAGCAAGAGTTTCGGCTGAGTTTCCGGGGAGTGTTCCGTCAGAATCGAATTGGTATGCAATCGTGTGTATTTCGCTAAAGATACTTCTTTCTGATCGGGCCGGTATCAACCGTAGGGTATTAATAAATAGAAATCCTCAGTGATTAAAAAAACCAGCCTACTGAGACACAGTGTGGCGAATCTTGCGTCATGAATTGTCCGGCACAAACAACTGAAATACAAGTGTGATTTTTGTTAACTATGTTGCCGATGTTCACCTTATGATCCCAATATTAGCAGTCTTCCACTGTTTATAGCGTGTGTGTGTGTGTGTGTGTGTGTGTGTGTGTGTGTGTGTGAAGAAACAGTCGATTTACCTTGAGACTTTTTCTGACTTCTTCCGAGCATTAGCCGCTTACCGGTCTCAATTAACTAAGACCGGGAGAAACTCATGCGGATTTTCCTATCAAGCTGTAGAATAACAAGAGAGTTGGTTGTTGATCAGGTGGCTGTTGATCTGTTCGCCGAGCTTGGCAATTGGTTTGCATACGTTTCGTCATCATACGAGGAGACATCATCAGTGCGCAGTTGGGTGCGAACAGATCAACAGCCGCCTGATAAACAACCAATAAACTCACCCGAGCTACCAATATCTCAACACATTACCATAACAAGACAGTGCATTGCGTGACAAGGATTAACCGGTAGATGCTGAGTGAAATCAAATAGCGGTAGTTCGATCGAAAATATAGGCATTACTGTACTGATCCCGTGATTGCCTAGTAAGCAAAGCTTTCTGTCAGAATCCTAAGTACGGTGTGACCGAACTTTATTTTTGCACAAGAGTTCAAGCAGTACCACTGTCCCGAGGTTTTAGATACTCGAGCAATATGGCGCAGCGAGAGCACGTCCGAAGTTGAATTAGATAATAAGGCAAGGAAAGTCTGTCTTTCCTTTGTGTACTTACCCTGATTTGTTTCTGCGTAGATGAATGCCTATTCTGGTCGCACTGAGTAATCGGTTAGCCGTGGAATGTAGCACATTCCCCAACCCCCTGAATATGTAGTGTCCCAGCGTGCGTGCCCAACTGAAAATTATGTATTTTTTCGCACTACTGATTTGTCTTCGGTAGACTACTGTTTAATCTGGGTAGACGAATACTTCGACCAAATGAGCTTACTACACATGGGACATTCCGAGTTGCTGGGTTATGTGAACTTAAAAACCACCCAACTTTCAAACAGCATCAGTGTTTCTAAGACACAGCATTTCACTGAAAATGTCCCCAAGGAGTCAAGAGAATCTCCCCATCAACGGATGGCGAACGTGCTGTCCTGTAGCAAACCAATGCCCGATAACTAAACCTTTTAGGATGATGAAATCGTACGTTTTAACTAGCCTAAGAACCCTATGAACTAAAAGAAACCAACACTTTAGAAAACCGAGCTTTTTCCTGGGGATTTTGAAAGAGGATTTGGGTTTCACTTGTTTCCTTTCAGATACTCGCATTCTACCTATTTAGAAGACCACAACACAATAGTTCAGTTGCTGCGAAGCTGTGAGTTTATGTCAGTATCATGGTAATGTTTATGCTTACAGCTAGATGTGTGTCACGCATGCTCGGGATTCAAAACTCTGGGAATAGTACTGACAGATCCAAGTGTAAAATTGGACTGATCTCCAAACTATGCCGCATCACTGCAGTTTTCTTCAACCTTCCGACGAATATCAATGGCTTTATATCTGGTATATTCGGCGTCCTAACTTGTCTGGTGGAATCTCAGACTGACGACACGATAAAGCTGTGAGAGTAAACTATGTGGCGGACAAATGCTAATGGCGAGATTAACTGATTGTTAGTAACTGTCAGATCGTACTCATTAATGGTTGAAGAATATCGGTTACAACATTTTAACAAAATTTGGGAGTGCTATAATCAGGGAAGTAGTATGAACAGATCAGCAGATGAAAGAGGAATGTTAGCAACAGAAACAACCGAGGCGCAGTTCGCACATTAGAGAGCACACCCAGGTTGGGATTTCCCCGAATCATTTGACCCCCTATCACCAGTCTTCCTAGAACAAACGCAATATTCTATCCGCCTGTTGGAACTGCTTCTCCCGAAGTGACTTAACTCAGCTGCCATCTTCATTGCTTGCGATGTTCTCATTGCGACTGATAGCTTTGGACGTTTCTAGCAGATTTTCGAAGTGTCTGGGTAATTCGAAAACAAGGTGGTCTTTTATTGGAGGATGGGTTCTAGCTGCCCCACTTTGTTGGGTAAAAAAGACCAAATCATGTCAAACAGTGAAGTTTTCGTTTCATCATGGACTTCAAGTAAGCACAGTAAACCGAACTGAGCCGTCCCCAGTGAAGCCACCCAGAGGAAGGATCGGTTAATTATTTTCGTCCACCACTGGTGACTGTACCTTCGGTCCTTCGTTTATGTGCCCTTCGGTTTCGAAGCGCTCGTCAGTGCATTGTTTGCTTGCTGGAGCGATCAATTATTTTTGTCCACCACTGGTGACTGTACCTTCGGTCGCTCGTTTATGTGCCCTTCGGTTTCGAAGCGTTCGTCAGTGCATTGTTTGCTTGCTGGAGCGTCACTCACAACCCAAACACGATTAACCTAAAATGTTTGATTCCGCAATCCGTAGCGATCAGCTTGCAGGCATTATATATGTCCTTATTGAAAAGTGTACATAACTGCCTTCTGAGAGCGACATTATTTGAGT